TCCTTTCGTTCTCTTCCCTCAACTCTGCCTCTCTGTCAAAGGACATCTCAAAGTCGCTGATGGCGTCGTCCCTCAAGTCTGTCATATCTTCAAAGTCAAGGTTGGGTGTTTCTTCTTCCTTCCTTGCGGTCGCTTCCTCTGCCATCTTTTTGAAGTTCATTTGCTGTAAGTCTGCTGGGTGGATGTTGTTTGTGTTCAGTGCTTGACCCTGCGGACTTTCGTGAAAATACCAAGCGTTCCTATCAAAGATTTTTCTGATGTCATTGGTTTTGAACTTTTCCCTGTCTATTTCCTTGATGAGTTCTGCGTAAGTGGGTATTCGTGTCAATCCCTGTTTTGTGTTGATTACTTCTGCTGTCATTGCTATATATTAATACTTTAGATTTTTATATTAATCTTGTGTATCGCCTCTCAACCACTGTTTATACTCATCAATTCTCTGTTTCATATTCTGGACGTTCGCCCCGTAATCTTCCAATCTGTGATTTTTCCTCACCTCCCTCAACCTTGTCATTTCATTCTGTAGCATCTCATTCTCTTCCTTCATCCTCTGCTTTACTTGTAAGACCTTGTAATCGTGCTCCGTGTTGTGATATTCAAGAAGACGCTTCAGGTAAAGATGATGGTTGTGAGTTGGCATCCTTGTAGTGTTGCTGTCGTTGTGGTAGTAGTGGTCATAACTACTATACACTTTTTTTCTTCTGTCTGGCATTTCGGGCGTTCCGCTCCTGTAGTTGGCACTTTTGTTTGAATGGACGGTTTGTCTTCTGTTGATGTCCTTGCGGACGTTTTCGTAGATGTCAGTTTTGTTGAGTTCCGTTTTCTGTTCCTTGATGTTCATTTTTATATATAATACTTTATAAAATTTTTGATGCTAAAGATTTCAATTTCTCTCTCGTCGCTTTGTTCTTTTCCTCTTTGGCTTTGTTGTAGGTGTCTCTGGCGGTCATTGCACTCTGTAGTTCTTCCTTCAGTTGCTTTACAAGGTCGTTTTTGAATGCTTCTGGGTCAAAAGGTGGTTTCGCCCTTGACGGTCTTACCCTTTTGGGCTTTGGCGCTGGTTGCGGTTTCTTTTCAACGGGTGGTTCAATTGTTTCTTCTGGTTTCTCCTCTTCTTTCGGTGCTTCCCGATAGGAAGCAGGGCTTTGCCGTGCTTCTTCCTGTATTGGTTCTGGTATTGTTTCTTCCTTGGGTTCTTCATTATCAATCTCTTTTACGACTACCTCTGTCATATATTAATATTATAGATAATTTTTTATACTTTCAAAATCTCGTGCCTCAAATACGGTTTGTTCAATCCTTCCAGTTTGAAGGTTCTGTTTCCGACATCATCGTATTCTATCTTGACGATTTTGTAGGATTGATTGCTCCATTTTGAGTTATACTCCTTCCTCTCGGTGTAGTTGTCTTTTTTCTTCTCAAAGACCTTGACCATATCATTCACTTTGACCTCTGGATATTTGCGAGTGTTCTTTTCCCTCCTTGTCAAATTCACCCTGACGTCCATATGGTTCTTGTCGTCGTGGGCATCCTTGGGTTTCATTTTGGTGGATGAATGGACGGTGTCGTTGTATTTATCTAACGCTTTGGACAACATTACAGTCCAACTACCGCGATTAAACCTCACCCTGTCGTGTATCATATTCTTCATTGTCCTTATGAAACGCTCCACAACATTGGCGTGAGTTAGGGTGACGACGTGAGTGATGCCTTCTTTCTCAAAGAACTCTTTTACCCCTGCTTGGAAGGCACGGTCATTATCACTATAAACGGACATTGGAAAACCCATTTTGTTGAAACTCTCTTTCATCGCCGACAATGTGATTGGTCCGGATTTTTCTTTCATAGGGACGACGTTTGCCAACTTGCTGAAGATGTCAATGACCACCAACCCATATCTCGGTTCATCGTTCTTGATGGGAATTTTCGTCTCTGGTTCTTTGGTAAGGGGTTTCATATCCATTATGTCAATCTGATATTCAAACCTTGCGAAGGGTGCGGTGTAGGAGTTTGACCCCCTGTATTTTCTAATCTGTTTGTTGGGCTGTTTCCTCATAAAGTTTTCCACATCCACCCTGTTGATGGTCTGGTCTTGCTCCTTGGCTTTCTTACGGGTCTCATTGATTGAACCGAAGCCCGTTTCAAGATTATAATAGACATTGCTTATGATGTCATCTCTTGATAGTCTCCTTGCCATATATTATAATATTAGATTTTTAAAATTATCAACAATAAAAAATATACTTAAAGAACAAATACCTATATATAGTAAGACTAAATAAGATGACTAAATTTGACTGTGGATGTCGTATAATGACAGATGTTATAACCCTGAACGATAGAAACCAACCTAATTGGAACTACTTGCTCAAAACCTTCGTGAATGTGTGTGGCAAGTGCTACAAGAAGCAAATGAAATTCCAATATATGGAAAACAAACTTATGGAAATGGAAAAGCAAAGAATGGAAATGTTTTTGGAAAATGAGGATGAGGAGGAAGACACATACTTTGACCTGACAGAGTTGAAGGAACATCTCAAAACCCTCCCACCCAATGAAAGACATAAAGTGAAGGATTTTGAGAGGTTAAGAAACCTCGCCAATGGACAAGACCCCAACGAAGGAATGAGTGAAATAGATATGGTCATAAGAGAACTGGAAGAGGAGGAAAGGGAAAATAAAAACCAACCCGAGCCCGAAAACTGAACGAGCCCCCAAAAACTACTTAAAGAAAAATTACCTATATATAGTAAGAGGATGCTATTTACCTATAAAAACTGTGGATGTTGTAAAAAAGAAATGACTGACATTAAGGTTTTATTGAACAACATTTTTCCTGCTGGAATTTGTGATGAGATATGTGATTACAACCTTTACTGTTCAAAATGTAAAGAGTTGAATGATAAGGAACGCAGATATATAACATTCAACTATCATTTTGACCATTTTGAAGAGAAAGAACTAACAAGAGTTGAAAAACAAATACATTTCTTTAAAACAAGGATGGAAAAATCACCTATCTATTTATCCAACACCGACCGAACAAATGTAAGAGTAATGAAGAGAGAAATAGACGCTTTAATGGACACCTATAAACTGAAGGTAGAATTTCAAAAAGATAAGATATATCTTCAAGCGATTAAGTCTTATGTCAAAAACCATTGGAAATACACTTATCATATTCTAAAGAACTTTCACGACCTTAATTTCATCAATTACAGTAAGCAACGAAGATGCTGGTGGTTTCCTAATGTTGAACGAACTTTTATGTTTAGAAACAGGGAGTTCAAGATAAAAGACATTTTGGAAATTTTCTTGCGTGAATATGTTGAAGAACTGTTCAACGGTTATGAGAAAGATTTGAACATAGAAGAAATAAAAGAGCACCTACAAAAAGTGATAAATACTTAAAGAAAAAATATCTATATATAGTAAGAGAAAATGAGTAGAGCAAAAATTGAGGTTATAGATACAGGGAATATTGGTATATATGCTGACTTTGGTAGTGATAGTGAGGACGATGATTGGGAAAGAAAACAAATAGAAAAAGAAGATGAAGAGATTAGAGACTTTGTAAAGTGCCATCCTATGCCTTCACCAGATGATGAGGAAGGAGAAAAGTTTTGGAAAAAAGTAATTGATAGGATGAAATCAGGGGAAGGGGTAAAGGATATGACGATATATATGTTTGTAAATTTTGACATTATGAAAAAGATGTATGAAAACCTGACTGATAAAAAAGTCATCATTGATTGTGGAAAGGAACTCAACCGTGATGGTGAATTCAACGCAATGATTATTAACATAACTCTTTTATCAATAGCGATGGATGAACTGAATGATACAAACAAACCCTGCTTAACACAAATGAGAGTGATTGAACACTGGTGGGATGGAATAGGAAAGTGGAAAGCATAAATGATTAATTCATAATATCTTAACAACACATATTATGAAGTAATCACCCACCCAAACACAAACAAAAACCCCAACAGCCTAAACAAATCCTACCCCCATTCAATCCAAACATTGACACATCACTTTAGCAACAAAATTACCCCCAAAACCCCACCTGAAAAAACATCAAAGGCGAAGATGAAACATTGAACCCCAACACAAAATCATAACAAGCAACATACAAACATATACGCCCTGAAACCACCATTTTTCCATTTTTTTATGGGGCTTTCCCGCACAATTTTCCTTGAGCCAATCCAATGATACGTACATACTTGATCGTTACTATTTGTTACTACATGTCAACTACTTCGCCCGACCAAAACCACTGCAACTCGCCAGGCACCTAACCGAGTTGCGACAGCATCTGGGCTGCCAGGACGTGGCACTCAAAAGTCAGCCGGAAACGTATCCAAAGCACGAAAAGAATCGCTAAAATCATCTAAAACCAATAAATGGGTGTCAACAAATATATATATATACATATACCTGGATCTTCAATTAGCACTTTTTTCTGCTCATAGCAGTTTTTGCTTGGATTTACGCTCGTTCTGACTTTTTATGCTCACTTGAACTAGAAAATGCACATTTGTCTTGACGGACAGGTATTAACGCTTTTTTCCCGGGTATTTACGCTTATTTCCCGGGAAAATACGCTAATAATTTTTGGCTTCAAAATGCACAAAGTGCAAAAATGCCAAAAGTGGTGCAATTACGCTCATTTGGAGAAAACCGCTCAAAAAAGCATAAATCTCTCAAATGAGCATTTATTTGTGCTTTTTCGAGGATGCAGAACAAATATTATCTACACTACATATGCATTATTTATTGATTTTATTGTACATTTTTTTAAATTGTTTATTTATAATTTATTTATTCATTTATTCATTTTCAAGAAGCATATGTATTTATTTGTTTATGCATTTATTTGTTTCTTTATTCATATTTAATTCTACCTTGCTGCGCAGAAGGCAGAAGTATTCGAAAACGATCAACCATGGTCCATTGGACGCATCCAATGATGGCGCGCCACCTGCCAGGAC